CTCATATTACGAGCTGGCCAGGAGTCAGAACTCGGAAAGAGTTATGCGGAATGAGGCTTAGGGCCGTTCAGTTCCGTTCTCCGTTCCAGGACTTTCGACTTCGATTGTATCTGGGCAGCATCCGTTCCGCAGTGCCTTATATATTTATGGAGATTAGAGGTGGAAATGGAGGTGGAGGTGGAGATGGTGCGAACTGACAATTGACACAATTACCAGGACGGCCAAATCCGTTGGCCGTAAACCGCTGCAATGGCACTTTGACAGCAATTGTCTTCTCGGCCCAACAATATGATCTGGGATCTCGGGATCTGGGATCTGTGATCTGCGTTCTGCGATCTGGAGAGGAAGGGTAGCCATCCCAACTGACAGTAGCCATTCTAACGGGGTTTCGTAGGCGGATTTGGACCGGAACCCAACAATGCGACAATGCGGAGTGCGACAGAAAGGACACTCCCGCAAAAAGGTGTGAACACTTCAAGGGCCGCTTGATAGATCGAGTGGAACCCAAGGAGGCGGGGAATCGGGAATCAGGGAACGGGGAACCGGATCGTAACTCTTTTTATGAGGGCTCTGGTGGCGCGGCACTTTCATTGACTGCAGCGAAACCCCTAACGGTGCCCGTCCGCTGACAATGGAGTGGCTGTGGCAGCTAATCAACAGTAAAATGCATAAAATTAAGTGAGCAATGAAGGGGATTATTGGGAATAAGGGTCTCCGTGCCGAGTTATTAGAAATGTCTCACTTTTTCCGCACATAACTGTACCCCCAAACCAAGCCAAATCAAACGGTTCTCACACAAAACAGATACAGATACAGATACAGATACAATACAGGGAATACCGATTTGGGTTGTGGAACAATAGCCCTAAACGTTGACAGTTCATCAAAACGGATGATGCATGCAAAATGAGTATCCCTTCGGTGGCGAATACCCTGTAATCGCATAGATACTGAACACTGAACAAAATTGTGTAGTTGCAGACATTATGTCCGCTTAATTCTTATTCAATCTGCCAAATCCATTCGCCTGAAATTCATTTACTCTATTGACTATCAGCAAACTATCAGCAAAATAGATTCGCATTACAATTTTTTCTATAAATATTTAATCATTTTTTTTTTTAACTTTTATTTAGTATAAATAATAAAAATTTTATGTATATGTAGCTTGCGATCTCCCACACAGAAATCAGCCGTGAAATGTTGCTTTCTTTTGATTGCTTTCTTTGGCTTGTCTTGTGTGTGCGAGTATTTTCCCAACCCGGGCATTTTCCTCTTCCGCTGGCAATGGGCGTTGACTCGGGCACACCCTGTGATTCCCTTTATCCTGGCAATCTTCCCGAGGCCCTGACAAGCAGGACAACAGCTACAATGATGGCGTAAGGAAGTAGCAAGTTAGTGTTGCCCATTAAATAGCACTCTGGCCATTGAGGGCTTTGTGCGGCAATTTGACGAGCATTGTATAGCGATGTTGTTGTGTGGGGTCTCCCCATCGATCAACCGATCACTCTAATCTTGAGTCAGAACCTTGAACCCATCTCTCCCCCGCAACCAGCAGTGAATGTTTCAAATTCAATATTTAGAGCTGGCTGTTTGCAAGACGCATCAGCTAAACTAAACTGAAGATAGTAAGACAAACGAGAGGGAGAACCTCGGTGAGACCCACTGTCGCCCCATTTCGGGAGATCGATCAGGTTTGGGCGATAAGGGGATTTGTAACCTCTCCCCGTCGCTGGGCAACTGTCATTTGGGTAATCAAAACCGCACTAATTGGCATAGTAATGCAATACTGCCCTGGATCCTGGACGGCGGGTTCCGGTTTTAAGATTTGCCCAAGATCTTAACGCTTCGATGGTCGGCCGTGAATGGAATGGAAGGACTCTATTTGGAGCGGCTCGACGTCTCTCAATTAAAGAGATGCCATAATTGAGCAGCCTTCTGCTGGATGCGGGATTAGGAGCCATAGGATAACAATTAGCCAAAGGATTTGACGACGGAAGCTGCGTCCATTGTGGGTTCCCTTTGAGTACTTAACTTGTGTCTTTTTTAGTCCGGGCTTCGTTCTGCTGTGCTGTGCACTTCCGTTTGCGGAAGTGGCTAAATGCAAATCCCTCGCCCAATACCTGTTCCCATTATCCTCTGCGAGTGTGCACTTTGCATATGCCAAGGAAAACAAACAAGTGGTCCTTGGTTCTGGGTCCTTAGTCCCAGGTCCTCGATCCGGTTAGTCTTTTAGTCTTTTTCGCCTGGCCCAAAACACTCTCCAGCGGGAAGAGAGGCCCTTTGTCCTCCCGAGGAGCACGTGTAATCCCCGTTCACTTCCTCGCCGACTACTTACTTCCTCATTAGCATCGCAGGATACTACAAGGATATAGCCGAGCTGGCTGATGGGCTTAGGCGGCCATCGTGGCCGAAAATCGACTGAATGACGGCCGAACTAATCATACATTTGGAAGTAATCTCATTTCATCAATTGTGTATTGGAGGAGGACGATTCTCAGAGGAAGTTCAACGTAGCTTGAAGGTTTCAGTAAAAATGTGAAAATCTCGTTGATGCGGAAGAATTCCACAATTTAATTGGGTTCTAAGTAGAATCTCCGTTCGCTGGCTAATTTTTTTTAGTTTTACTCCAAACTGCAATGTTTTAAAATTAGAATGCTCAACGTGCGCGGCAAACTGCAAATTCTGTGCCCACGTGGGAAATAAAGATGGAAATTCGTAGAAACGAATTTTCACTTACAAATTCGATAAGTTGTTTCTAACTTCGGTTTACGACAGAGGGCCGTCTGAAATTATAAATGCCAATATGCGACTATGCGACTGTTGGCCCATTAAGACAAAGAACCGCGAAAGGAGTTAACGGCGATTCCCCGAACCACTCCTGACCCTTTCTTTTTTTTATTTTGAGGGGTCATATATGGCGAAACCCTTTCAGTCAATTAGTCGCTGATTTTCTTTGTGTCACCTAGCAGCGACCAATATAAAAATCGCAGCCACAATGGACGCAGGCGAGAACCCTTTTTTAAGGACCACCGAAGTCCGAAGTCCGAAACTTCGTTTACGGCCCCTTAAAAAACAGCAGCGGTCTCCGGGATCTCGGATTCGGGTTCGGATTGAGACCCTTTCCCCCGAAGCGTCCATTATGCAATAAAACTCTCGACGTTTTTTAGGCAATAGCCGAATCCATATTGTGGGTGGGCAACCCGTTCGGGGACCAGGTAGCAGGTTCTGTAAAAAACGCGCTCAAGGTCGCGCCTCGAAAGGATTGCACAAATATTGCATCTTTGGTGCGGAGCTCATTATGACGGAGGAACAGCAGTCGAAATTCGGAATACGGAATATGGTTTTATGGCCCTCCGTTTTTTACGCTTCTTTTTCGCTGAATCTGGTTTTTACAGCGAATTTGGCCAACTCTTTGGCTTTGGCTTCGGCCGCGACTTTTTATGGCATCTGTTCGGGATCGATCGGTCGGGCTGGGCTAGATGTTAGATGTTGTATGTTATATGGCCAGGATCTGTTTGCGAGCCCAGGGACCTCAGGTAAGCGGTCGACTCAATGACGAGGACGAGACCGCGTTTTAGTTAATCCACCATTTTTACGGTTGGATTAGCGCACGGATTAGCGGATAAGTTCGCGGTTTTTTTTACTGATTACTGAATCGAACCCTCTTTTTATTTGAATGAAGAGCTGTAAAAAGTGAATGAATGAGCAAAGGCATTCAAATGAGTGAGTGGGCGAATCTGATCCTAATGAAAGTTAGTGTTTGTTTAAAGTATTTGCTTCGATATCTGATATACAATGCTATTTATTCTAATTGTATTAAATGGTACTTGCTAACTCAAAAATTGCGTATTAATTTTATTTATTTAAATGTAAAATGGTTTATCTTTCGGTATACTGAACTGTTTTACAATTGTGTTTCTCAAAAGTGAAAAAGTGTATCCCACTTCCGCTAGCCATTGAAGCGACCGTTTGAAAACAGTTAAGCAAAGTTAAACAAGATGTTGAGAATCCCACGCCGCAGCGGAAGCCAAAAGGATAAAGAATAATGCATCAAGGATGTTTAAGGAGGCGGACAAACACGAAACAGTCAACATCACGGACACTTGTCGCAACGATCTCTTCGATCCCCTCGATCTCCGAGGTGGCGGCGTCATGAATCAAATGGCCAGACTGGCGAGTGTCCTTGCCAGGATTCCGGGAACGCAGTTCTCCATTAGCGAACTTCGGAAAGGATGCGAATTACGCCAGTCGAAAAGGGCTGAGAAACTGCAGAAACAGAAACGCCAGAACCCGACCTAATTTCCATAATTTGTCACGCACAATCCACCGAATTCGCCAGCGGACAGCAGATACACAGATCCTGGATGGGCTGGTCAGCAAAAGGATTTCGGGACAAAAGCGCAAAACAAACGGATTTAGGATTCGCAACCCTTGGACATTGTGCATCCATTATCAACAAACTGAAATTCGTCTCTTTCGCGTCTGCCAACTGCCTCTCTTTCTCCGCTCGGAAAAGTATGATTTTGCCCTAATTAATGTGGCTTCAGCGTGAGATATATTCTAGAAACTACGGCTTTCTCCCATAAACATGAAAAGTTTTCATGGGATTTCCCTGAGTCCCTGATTTTAAAAGTCGATATACTCTTCTGTACTTCTTTCCTTCTACAACAATGATCTTCCTGTTGCGAATCTTCAAAAATTGAATTGATTATGTATCCAGAAGAGATAGATTTTCTTTTATAAAAGGATAACAAATATTAGATATAGTTTGTACATATATTCATATTGAGTTGGAATTCATACAATCTGGTTCTTTGAAACGAAAAGTAAATCAGAAACGGGTATGGCATGAATTTCCTTGCTTTAGTCATTGAACATAATTATGACCCGAGAAAAAACCATATCCTTTCGCGGGAACTGTTCGAGTAAAAAAAAGTTCGAAAACTCTTTTTTTTGGTTAAATTACGCTAAATGGCGAAGTAACAATAGCACAAAGACTCAAGATTTTGGCGAAAAATGCGAAAAGCAAGGAGGAAATGGCCAGTCGCACCCCTTGTAAAACCCTTTGAAAGGCGGCGAGCGAGAGAGAGAGAGAGAGAGGGCAACAGGGAGAGTGGGACGGGAACAGAGTCACCCCTTTGCCCTCTGAACCGCCTACCTGCTTCGTACCGCCTCGGCTGGCCGCTCGGGTTCGCCATTTTCAACTGAATGGAGCGTCGGCGCAGCCTGCGGACTGCAGGGTATAAATTCAGAGGGTTCCGCCGAGAGGAAATCAGTTTGCGTTCGACATCGTCAGCGTGAAAGCATAGCAAGTATAGCAAGAGCAGAGCTAGATCGTCAGCCCACACAGCTATCAATTAGTTGGATTACAAGCGAAGAAACCACAAACCCCAAACACCATGCTAATGCACGAGAAACTCATGGCTGGGCAGTTCTTCGATCTCAAGACCGGTAAGTTAGCCACGCCCCCTGCCCTCTCTACGAACTCTGAACTCACGGATCTCCTCTCCTCTCCTCGACCTCTGCAGATCGCAAGCCCTTGCTGCACCACCACCAGTACCAGCACCACCAGACGCACCACCAGCAGCAGTCGCTGCACCACTTGCCGCACAGCCAACTGCCGGTCCAGGGGTCCTTGGGCCTGCCCAAAATGGATCTGTATGCCGCCTACGCCTACCAGCAGCAGTTGTTGGGGGCTGTGGTCAGCCAGCAGCAGCAGCAACAGCAGCAGCAGCAGCAACATCAGCACCAGCAACATGCCCCGCCAGCTGAGGTCCTGGATCTCTCCCGGCGCTGCGACAGTGTGGAAACTCCCAGGAAGACCCCGTCGCCCTACCAAACCAGCTACAGCTATGGCAGCGGTTCCCCCTCGGCCTCGCCCACCAGCAGTCTTCTATACGCCGCTCAGATGCAGCAGCAGCAGCAGCAACAGCAGCAACATCAGCAGCAACAGCAGCAGCAACAGCAGTTGGCCTCGCTGTACCCCGCTTTCTACTACAGCAACATCAAGCAGGAGCAGCCCACGCCCGCTCCTGCCCCGCCCAAGGTGACGCCGACCGCCAGCCTTCTTCAGACGTTTGCTGCCGCCTCTGCTGCTGCCGCCGCAGCTGCTGCTGCCTCCTCGACCCACTCGCCGCGCCCAGCCAGCAATGCCAGCACCATGCAGATCGACGTCCTGGAGAATCCCCAGTCGCCGGCCGTTGAGGCCACCACGCCAACCACCTCCAGCGGCGGGGAGGCGGGCAAGAACACCCGCCCCTTCAAGGCCTTCCCGCGGGATCCCCTGGTCATTGCGGCCAACTTCGCGGCCACCGACGTCCTTCTGGACAATCCGCGGGTGGAGCGCTACACGGAGTACCGCAAGAGGGTCCTCGAGCAGATCCGCAGCTCCAACGGAGGCTCGCGCACTGTGACCAACCCCAAGATGCGGAGGACCAACTCCAGGAGTGGCTCCGTGAACGAAGGCAGCTCCTCGAACAACAACAGCGAGAGCGAGGATCGGGCTGCGGCCGAGGAGTCCAGCGACTGCGACTCCCAGGCGGGCAACTTTGAGGGCAAGTCCAACGCCAGCAACTCCATAAGTGCGGCCAACACTGCTGGGACCAATCCCGGAGTGAACTCGGGCAGCCAGGTGAAGGATGCTGCCTACTATGAGAGGCGTCGCAAGAACAACGCCGCCGCCAAGAAGTCGCGCGACCGTCGCCGCATCAAGGAGGATGAGATCGCCATCCGGGCTGCCTACTTGGAGCGCCAGAACATCGAGCTGTTGTGCCAGATCGATGCCCTGAAAGCCCAACTGGCCGCGTTCACCTCGGCCAAAGTGTCCACCGCCTAAAAGTCCATTCCTCTCTTGATGCGTTGAACGCGAAGATCTGAATTGTAGAGCCTGTTTTTGGGGGAGCTTATCTGTGAATAGGTTAGGGGTCGCAACTATCTTTTTTTTGACACACTCGCATTTAAGTACTTTAAGTCCTTGCAGTATACGTTATAATTGTACAATATGTTAGTTTTAAGAGCACCTCGCAATCTCACCAGTTAACTAATCAAGCGAATCAACTTTAGTTGTAGAAGTCCATTAGTACTTTGTCAGTAAGTGAATTTTTTTCATAACTCTAAGAAATCCCATAAAAAATAAATTTCGCAAAAATTACTTCAATACTTGGTTTATTTAAAATCTTCTCTAATCTTGTATCCAAATAATAAATATTATCAAAAAAATAAATAATAATATACCAAATACCAAACAAATAATAGTATCAATAAATAATATAATAAAATAAGGAAGAAAGCTAGCTATCTCCAACAAAATACATCATCATTTATCGCGAAAAATGGCAAAACTTCAATATTTTTAGTAGTGAATGCCATCAGATTCAAAATTTTATTGCGAATTGAACGATGTACATATGCCATTCCCCATTTGGAAGACTGCTTCCTGAGATATTGCAAAAAAAACTGGGTTTACTGAGCAACTTAACGTATTTAATATTATATGCGAAAAAACAAACATTTTTCAATGGTAATTTGTCCTTTATTTGGGCAAGAAACAACTTACAACCAAATAAAGTATAGTTTTGATAACCAGAGAAGCCCAATTATCTATACCGCCGAATGCAATTTAATTGTCATTTAATTGATTCTTTAGTTAGTAAAAAAACAAACCAATTTGGAAATGATTAGTCGACAATTTTGGTAAAAAACACTATATGTTGGGTTGTTTTTTCAGTTGTAATAAGAATTAAAAGTGACTTACAGCGAAACCAAACACTGTTTTGATGACCTTATGACCAAAGTTACTAAGCCCAGTCAGTTTTTGGACCATCGAAAAAAAAAAGATTTTTCGCCAGTTTTTGCATTTTCGGTAACATCATAATTTTTTGCAAAAAAATGGCAAAATTTCCACATTTTTAGCTGTGAATTGGATCGGATTCATAATTTTATTACGAGTTTAACGATGTATGCCATTCCAAATTTGAAAAAGTACTTCCCGAGAAATTGAAAAAAACTGGGTTTTCTGAGCCATTTTATACTATACCCAATTTTCGAATTTTTGATAAGGAATTTTTTTGCAAAAAATTACCAAATTTTAACGTTTTGAGGTGTGAATGCCATTGGATTCAGAATTTTGTTACGAATTCAACGATGTAAGCCATTCCACATTTGGAAAGAGTACTTACCGAGATAGAGACAAAAAACGAAATTTTTTATAATGATTTTATGCCATTTTTTTATATTTTAAATGATTTTTGTCTGTTGTTTGGGAAAAAACGATTTATAGCCAAGAAAGTATAGTTTGGATTGTAATTTGCTACGATAATCCATTCCAAATAAGTTATTAAGTGTAAAAAGTTTCTTAATAAATCTTTAAATTCTTATATTTTTTTCTAGGTATGCCATCGGTAATGGATGCTTTAAAATATCAACGCAGCTGTAACTTGCCGATATACATAAATATAACGATTTGTTCAGTGATCAGCGACAGTATAAATTCTGACCTGCGGGCAAAGATAGTGTTTTATTGTACACAATTTCCTAGTTTTCTTAACATCATTTTACCAATGGGAAAACAAAATAAAATTTCAAGGTTTGTATAGCACTCGATTACGGCGCAATCATTTGTTTTGCCAAATATTCCTTAAGCTACAGTACAAAAACTAAACGGTGGCCTTTGTTTTGGTTTTTGATTTATTGGGTTTTGATATAAAAGTTGGCTAACATAGTGTGACCAAACGAGAAAGCGGCCAAAAATCATGCCTCAAAACTCAGCTGGACAGTGCTGCCAGTAAAAAATCGGTGATGGGTCGATGGGCCATTAACAGGTTCATCGGTGATGCCACATCGGCCAATTTACATTAACACGCTGGAAACTGGAGTGGCAGCTTCGTGGGAAATGGATCGTGTCTTCGCTTTTCTATTTAAATTAAGCATATAAGATAATTTATAATAAATTATAATTTATAATATAATATAATTTATTATAATATAACAATAAGGTACTTTTATTTAATTTAATATGTAGGTGCATTATTAAATAAAATAAAAATGAAATTAAATGATGTTTGTTTGTTTTATTGGCCAAATCGGCAAATTCGGATGACCAAATACCAGGCGAACAGAAATCCCTAGAAGGTGGCTAAAAAATCCAAAAGACCATAGCCGAGTTTCAAACCCAGCACTTTTGTGGATCGGGTATGGACCATGTATTGCAGTGAGCGCACATACCATCCACGAATAAGAAATGTTGCATATCTTAGGGGGCTTCCAAATTTGTAGAATACTTATGGGGGCTCGTAGACAAAACGTGGTGTTGCTCTTGCTTATTTTTTATAGCATACTTTTGCGGGCAATTTGAAAATATTAAAAAAAAAGAGTAACCACCTACTATTGCATTCTGTTCGCCTGGTACTTCAAAATGAGGTTTGGTTGAATATGTTGGTATTGGCGGAACGAATTCGAAGGGACAAATTGGAAAATCCACTTTTAGGTACCAGGCGAACATAATCCATTAGTAGGTGGAAATGGACAAAATGCAGCCCCCTAATTGTAGCAGACAGCTTCTGTCAGTAAGCAATACCAAATAATTGCAATACCAAATAATTGCTTACTGACAGAAGCTGTCTGCTACAATTAGGGGGCTGCATTTTCAGCCCAAATCAATACCAAATAATTGCTTACTGACAGAAGCTGTCTGCTACAATTAGGGGGCTGCATTTTCAGCCAAAATCAATACCAAATAATTGCTTACTGACAGAAGCTTTCTGCTACAATTAGGGGGCTGTCTGGTATTTCATTTTCAGCCAAAATCAATACCAAATAATTGCTTACTGACAGTAGCTTTCTGCTACAATTAGGGGGCTGCCTGGTATTTCAAATTCCCCACCCGCCTACCACATTAAAACAGTCAATAATTTCATTAGTTAGTTTTTATTATATTCAATAATTCAGACATAATAATAATAGCTAAGTTTCCTACTATATGTTTATCTTAACTTATAGTATAGTTTTTATTATTATAAGTAAGTTCCTTATGTAAGTATTATATCTTATTATTATTTAATATTATTATTAAACATTATACATTTAGGTTTGTACAATTCAAATAAATTTTCTTATCATAAAACTAATATCTGCTCCTCGCTCTGCTCGTCCAGTAATAATCGTCGGCGAATAAGTTCCGGAAAGAGGGTAGTGGGGAAGTAGAAGTCCTCGCTGACCTGCTCTGCTGTGGATCTGGCCCAAACTTGGTTTTATGTAGGGTTGTCGAAAATTTTAAAAATATCGTATCGATGATATTTTTTTTATCAAATAATATGATAATAATATTTCTAAATATCACCGAAAAATATCGATATATTGATATTTTTGATATTTTTTGTGTTTTTTTTTTTTTTTTTTTTTCTTATTATTTATTTAGTGCAGAATCTGTACAGCAAATTAAAGTACTTAACAACACAGGTGTCACCAATGAGAAAAGTAAACCAAACCTCAGCATTAAGAAGAGGATTATATATAGTATTTTCTTATTGATTCCTTATCGTCTTGGCAAAGCCTTGCCTTTTGAGACGCCTCAAAGGTCTCGCTGGGAGTAGATTCCTAGCCAGTAAGCTGCGGTGTCTTCCTAATCTATCTCGGTATCGGCTTGTGTGTCTCCCAATCTGTTCTTCCACAGTGTGTAGATTTAGGTCTCTGTGAAGTGTCGTGCCACGCACATACCAGGGACAGTCAGTAATGGTACGTAGAAACCGATTCTGCAACACTTGTAACCTTTTGTAGTTCGATTTGGCTGCGATCCCCCAAATTTGAATACCATAAAGCCAGATTGGCAGGATACAGAATGCATATACTGCCCTCTTGCATCTCAGCGGCAAAGTGCTCCTTCTGTGTGTAAGCCAACGCAGTTGCTGAATCCTTTGGTTACATTTTTGACTGTTGCTTTCAGATGTGCCCACAATAAAAAGACAATAAGTTTCGGTAATTGTTTACAAGTGCGGTCCGGACTTCGAAATCCGGTGGCGGAAAGTGAAAATTTTGCACCGTTTTTTTGTTATTAACAATCCTTACTTCAGCACTCTTGAAAGTCTCCGTTATTGTCATAATACCTTCAAAGTTCGTGGACAGCTAAGAATGAAAACTAATTAATATATCTGTGAACAACGTGGGTGTGCGCGTTTGGCGCCAAATTTCGGTGGTATGTGCGTAAGTTACATATGCACACATAGACAACGAAATCTGGCCATACGCACACATAGCACATATGTATATTCCTTCTTTTGCGCGCATTTTGCGAAAATATTATTTTGCGCTTGAATTCGTTCACTTGAAGTCGCTTTGGAATACAAAGTAACCGAGACAAAAATATCAAAAAATATCAAAAAAATATATCGATTTTCCGATATTTAGGCAAACAAAAAATTACGATATAAATATATCATTTTAAAAAGAAAATATCGATATATTGATATTTTGATATATTATCAACAACCCTAGTTTTATGTGCCAGGGAGGCAGGGAAGGCGCCCAGGCTCCAGCTGCTCTCGTTGATTCCTGAAAAGAAAAAGCATAGTTTTTATAACTCTTGTTCGGTCGGGGTTTCTTTTGCAGCACAAGTGTGCAACATGTTCAGCAATTACGGAGGAATTTTAATTCTGCAAGCGGTGCGAAAAAGTTTTTTTCCCCCAAAACTACATAAAATGACTCAAAAAATTCCAGTTTTTTAGCAATATCTCCGGAAATATTCTTCCAAATGTGGAATGGCATACTTCATTGAATTCGTGATAAAATTCTGAATCCGATGGTATAAACACCCAAAAAAGTTGAAATTTTGCCATTTTTCGCAAAAAATGACGATGTTACCCCTTATGAAAATTGCGAAAATTGGCCAAAAATCATTTTTTTTGAATCGTCCAAAAAGTGATTGGGCTTGTTAACTGTGGTCATAAGGTGCTCAAAACAGTATTTGGTTCCGCTGTAAGTCACTTTTTGGCCTTATTACAACCAAAAAACCACTCAAAATACATTGATTTCTACCAAAATTGTCAACTAACCTTCTCCAAATTAGTTTTTAGCAACTAACTAAAGGATCAGTTAATTTTGCATTTGGTGGCATGAATTGCTGGGCTTTTCTAGTTTCCAAAACTTTACTTTGTTTGGCTGTAAGTTGTTTCTTGCCCAAATAACAGACAAATTACCAATGGGAAAAGTTTTTTTTTTGGTCAAAACTACAAAAAATGGCTTTAAAAAAAAACAGTTTTTTTGGAATATCTGAGAAAGTACTCTTCCAAATGTGGAATGGCATACTTCGTTGAATTCGTGATAAAATTCTGAATCCGATGGTATAAACACCCAAAAAAGTTGAAATTTTGCCATTTTTCGCAAAAAATGACGATGTTACCCCTTATGAAAATTGCGAAAATTGGCCAAAAATCATTTTTTTGAATCGTCCAAAAAGTGATTGGGCTCGTTAACTGTGGTCATAAGGTGCTCAAAACAGTATTTGGCTCCGCTGTAAGTCACTTTTAAGTCTTATTACAACCGAAAAACCAGCCAACATATAGCGATTTTTACCTAAATTATTAACTAAGACAAGATTTTTCGATCTTTCCTATGTCGGCTATAGTTGTCCAATTTTTATGAAATTTTCCTTCTGACTGAAATTATAATACTATCTGCAAGGTTATAAAACTAGTCAAAACTTCTATGTTGTTTAGCCTTTACATATGTATTTTGTTGGAAATATTTTATGACTGCAAGAATATATCAGCTTCGGCTTACTTCCTTTCTTGTTTTTTATCATTAAATAATAGTATGCAACTACTGTAACTGTACTGCAGTACTTCAGAATGTGCATTTCCATTATTTATGTGAACATATATTTAATAAACACCCTCTGGTGCTCTTCACTCACAAGTATCCGCAATGCATGCATGCTATATTGATTAAGGGCACCCGTGGAACAAAGACTGGCTTAAAAGCAATAAGTACGGAAAACAGCTCTATATAACTAAGTAAACATCAAAACGCCACCCCCTAGGTCCTCGGAATTAAGAAATTATAATGCGGTGGGACAAAACGTCGCACGGCCAATTAAAACACATTCGTTTTAGGCCTATCAAAATAGTACAAACAACTTGCACGAACCGATAAGCAAATACCAATAAAAAGGACATCAGTTCGGGATGGAAAGGTGTGGGATGAGGATGATACGGAGTGGACTGGAGCGTCATCTGGCTGATCGGTTCGTGTTGGACAATTTAATGCAATTAGTGCGATGCGATATGCGATGGTCAGTGTTTAGGGGCATCTACTCGTATCGGCATTCCGAACTCCATATCGGTAATTACATAATTACAGCGCGTGTCGCTGGAAGCGAAGGGATGTATGTACATATATAGATCCACCCTCTCATCGGGAGAAGGTGGCACATGTCATATGCCGCGGCATTCCGATTCCGATTTCACTTGGCTGATTAATGATATTATGTAATCCCATTAGTTGCATTTCGGCCTAGGGCGGTTCGGTTCGGTTCGGTTAAAAACGAAACGAACGAATAGAAAATGCCTGTGAAATGCAATCAACCGCAATAATCGCGAAAAGCGA